AAAGAAAGAAAGAAAGAAAGAAAGAAAGAAAGAAAGAAAGAAAGAAATTACTTGTACCAGTTTATTCTCTTACCAGGAAAGTATGAAGGTGCTTTTTTTTTCTCTACATCCTCTCCAACACCTGATAGGGCCACATTTTAAAACTGTTGCCACTTTGGCGAGAGTGGGAATCTCATTTTTGTTTTCATTCCCTCACTGACGAGTGAAGTGGAACATGCCATTGCATATTCACTGGTGGTTCAGGTTTTCTCTTTTGTGAATTGCCAATTACTGTCCATTGCCTGCTTACCTACTGGGTTGGCTGACTCCTACTGATGTGTAGCATTATTAACATGTCCTGGATTCTGCTCCTTTACTAGTTACCTGTATACACCATTTTCCTCCCAGGCTCCGTTTACATTTTCACGTTGCTTACGGTGTCTTCGGTTGTCCTCAAAGGTTTTAAATTTTAGCGTAATCGAATGAATCTGTGTTTTCCTTTTTGCTGTGTGTATGTGTGTGCCTTCGACTTTATTTCCTTCCTCGATGTGAAAAGATGCTTCTACTCTATCTTCCTTTTAAAAGTTTTAAGTTTTGCTTTCTCTATCCGAGTCCAGTGTTTATGTTTTCTCCTATAATCATTTGTCTCATGGCCGTTTATCGAAGAGTCCATCCCTTCCCTCTGAGTTGTGGTGTCCTTCTGTCATTGGCCGTGGTTGCGTGGGTACACGATCTGTTGCTGCTCTGTCCCAGTAGCCTGTGTGTCTTTTCTTGCTCCTGTACCGCACGCTCCTATTGGACACAGCCTAACAACAAGGAATGACATCTGGGAGGGCGAAACTGCCAACAGCCCCAGAGATTCTTGAACAAATTCTTACGCCTGCACTTTAGGGTTATCATGTTAAATTCCCCACACGTGTGCATGGACACGTGCGCGTAGTCAACTGAAGTATGACTTTTCTTGCACCGTGCTTCTAGAATAATTTGGGAGATCTTGCATCTTTAAGACCGTCCTGCCATCCACAAACATGGAATAGCTTTTCATGTATTAGAGCTTGTTATGTCTTTCTATAATGTTTTATCATTTATATGTAAAAGTATTGCTCATATTTAGATTTTTAGACACCTTATTTTATGTTTTCTATTGCTACTGTAAATGACTTATTTTAAAGTATGCTTTCTAGTTTTTGTTAGATTTTTTTCAGACGCTTTGTGTGTTCACAAGTAACTTATAAATGCAAATCGATTGTTTATATAAGCTGATCATTACCAGATCCTGTTGCTGACTTTCCTGCCCTGCGTCCAACTATTGATACAAGCACCTTGCACAAACTCATGTGGTGATCTGCCCATTTACAAATCATTCACCTTCAAGCCCCACTGTGTCTTCCATACTGTAGCACTTTCTTCTTTCGATTTCTAGAAAAATCAACATTATTTGCTTGGCTTTGTGAGTTCTACATACATCTAAGAGTCATCTGTGAGAGCGAAGCTAGTCAGTTAAAAAGACACCATCCAGGTGGCTCTTTCCACCTTCCAGATCAGCTCACAGGTTGACAGCACAATGTCTTGAGCTGCCCTGAATCCCTACACTCACACCACGAAAACAGAGTTTTAAAACAGATTTTTTTTGCCCGGCTAAGTCTTTGACACTCATTTGAATCTTCCTGCAAATGTAAAACGCTAGAGGAAGAAAAACTGTGATTTGTCCTGTGGCCCTCCACCCTAAGAGAGAACCTGGACTCCACATTTAAAGGTCCTACTAGAATATCCAGCCCTCTCCTCTCCATCCATCCCCCTGACACTGCCTCATTCCGACTCTCACCATC